AGCACTGAATTCTCGTTCAACTGCTACGGTTGATACCGGAACGGATAACACTTGTCTTGCTAGCATGCCGAGACATGGGAACATGTGTTCGTTCCGCTTCCACCATCCGAGCACGTCAAAATCCACTTCGTCTTCATCGTAATCGCATGGCACACCCTGGTACATAGCAAGTTCGTTGTGCGAGCTTACTGTTGTACCACTTGAACTCGTTGAAGAATGAGCACGCTTCCCTTTCTTTGCAAGAAGCCCACCGACTATTCCGGCAAAACCTTTTTTTGATTTCGGGGGCGGAAGTGGTGTTGTTTCTTCTTGTACAGTGCCGTATAACCCTTAATATTCCTCAAACAAATTCTCAAAAAAAGTTACAGCATTATCTCTTTCTTTTTTCCATTCTACTAAATAAGAGTAGTAATAACTATTTTCATCTAAAACACACTTGTAGTAATAATCAATTAAAATTTTATAATTTTCAAATTTAAAGCGTGGATCACAAATAATACCTATTTTATAAATATCAGGAATGTACAAATAATAAGAACACCATTTTTGTATCATAGGAGAGACATATGGGTACAAATCAGGATCAGCCTTACTTTCACGAAAACATGTTGCGATTGTAACGCTCTTTTAAAAATGTATTTGTAGTTGGTTGGTAAACATGAGAAAAAGTAAGAGTTGCGTTATTAAAAACTTCTAATACGGCATTCAATTTTTCAACAAGTACAAATTCAAAAGGATCAATGATTATACGAAGTTCATCACTAAAAAATTCAGCAAGTTCCTCTTTATATTTTAGAATCTGATGAATCAATTTGTATGTACTATTCCATCTAATGTGGATATCTTTTGCAAAAACTATTTCTTTTCTACCTTTAGACTTACAGAAAATCTTCCATTTTTTCGAAACAAGACGAGCCCCCCAAATTCTTTTAATTCCTTCTTTAATATTCGTCAAAACTCCGCCCATAGCTTCTAGTCCCTGTTGAACACATAAATTTAAACCATGACATGCACACCGTTGATGCAGAAATCTACCCATAGCCGTAGACGGTGGGCAAATTTCTCTAAGTCTAGGAATGGCTGCAGTATTATTAGTAGCATTATCAAAACCAAATGAAAACACTTTGTCACATAAGTTGTATTCCCGCAGAATACTCTGAAGCAATAGGAAAATATTTTCAGCAGTATGCTGTTCATTGAAATCACGAAATGCAAGAACACGTTTATGCATAATCCAATCACTATCTATCCAATGACAAGTAACACCCATATAAGA